CCCCATGTCGTTTCAGCCTGAAACTGAAAACGAGGGCCTGCAGGCCCTATTTCGTTTTTAGCCTATAACAGGGTTTTTCAGCCCTGAGGCTTTTCAGCCTGAAACGGAGGGCCACTTTCGGGCCCTCATAAGATCGACCGACCCTAAGACTCAGGCACAAAAATAGGGTTTCGAAAACAGGCTATCTTTAGCCTGTTCCCACGACAGCCTCAAGCAGGAGCTGCAGCGGCAGCCCCTGACTCCCTGCGGCATTGGCAAGAGCAGCCTCCTGGACTTCCTCGCCCTGCAGTAAGGAGGCAGGCCGTGTAGTACATAGGAAGTCCCATGCACTTCACGGGTAGGTAGTTGGACAGTAGGCACGAGTAGTCTTCAGGATTCGGCCCCAACACTCAGGACGAGCGCTGGAGGAGGTAGCTTAGCGCTAGCAGTAGTCTTCAGCGGTGGGCGCTAGTAGCCATAACAGTAGTCTTCAGCGCTGGGCGCTAGTAGGTGGTAGTGGTAGTGTGGGAGAGAGATGGCTGGCGGAGGCCAGCGAGACTTACGTGTGGCATCATAGCTCAAGCTCCATCTTCGAGGTACCTGCATCAAGGCGCCAACTTCACAGGTTAGTACCGGAGAGAGAGAGAGAGAGAGAGAGAGAGAGAGAGAGAGAGAGAGAGAGAGAGAGAGAGAGAGAGAGAGAGAGAGAGAGAGAGTTTTTCTTCTTCCTCTTCTAAGTCCACCATCTCTTCTTCCCCTCTCACCATCAAACTTCTCAGTATCAGCGGACTACTACAGAGAGAGAGAGTTGTGACTTGAGACTTGATGACGTTGGATCTAGACAGGACATTGGGATTCATACATTTGACGAGGGACTATTTGGGCCTGTGCCGAATACGTGGTGTTGACGGCATTCCCATCTTACCCTCCTCTCGTCTAACCCCCCTCTTCTTCGTCTGTGCATGGTTCGAGGCTGGCGCATTCTTCCTGTGTGAGCGCCAGACCCCATGGGGATGATGATGATGATGTATGTTCTGGGCTGCATTGCAGTATTGATTGTTCGGATCATTGGTATCTAAGTTTTTCGCTGTGCTATCTTGTACTTTGTATTGATAGGTCGGTTCTTGTTTTGGTCTGCACCGTTACAGTATGCAACAGTTTGGTATCGGAGCGGACCTCTCATTCAGAGGACCCACTGAATCAAGTAACCAGCTTGCTTGATCTATTGATTACTCGTTAGTAAATCAAGTAGGACTTCGTCAAATCTCTGATTTTTTTTTTTTTCGCAACAACTATCTGAAAATTTTTGATAAATCGCTTTTCGTTTTGTCTGAAAATTCCAAATAGTAGCATTTCATTTCTCTGATATTTTGCATATATAGCTGAAATTTCTGATGTTAGTATTTCGTTTTCTAGGCATATTGGGATAACGATAGAAGTGGTCATATTCTCGGAAACCGGAATTATTCTTTTCTGAAAATCGAATTTCCATTCTATGTCGCAAATTTTTTTGAAAACCAAAATCTTGCGAAGCCTACCAACATTTCGTTACGCATATTCGGAGGTTGCCATATTCTCAGAAACTGGATTTCGTTCTCTCTGAAAATCGCACCTTTACTCTATTTCGCAATTTTTTTCTTCTTTCAAGATCGCATTTTGTGAAAGCCGAAACTTTGCGGAACCTAGCCTAGATCTCGTTCATAGTACTCTTCTGACATGTCTCACTCATAATAGACCGACAGATATACAAAAAAAAAAAAAAAAGGAAGTAGTCCTCTTTTATTTTTTCCATTTCTATCTGTTGATTAGGGCCGGGATGAAAGTGTTGTTGGGTCGGTTCCCTACCTGTGTTTTCCCTCCCCACCCACCCTTTGCATGCATTTCCGAGTTGGTACAGTGCCATGTCAGCAGTGCCACATCAACAACAGTGCCACGTCAGCAGTGCCACGTAAGCAGTGCCACGTCAGCAACAGTGCCACGTCAGCAGTGCCACGCCAACAGTGCCATGTAAGCAGTGCCACGTAAGCAGTGCCATGTCAGCAATAGTGCCACGTCAGCAGTGCCACGTCAGCAACAGTGCCACGTCAGCAGTGCCGCGTTAGCAGTGCCACGTCAACAATGCCACGTCAACAGTGCCACGTCAACAGTGCCACGTCAACAGTGCCCCGCCACCATGACGGGCACAACTCTGGGCATGCCAGGCCAACTGGCCAACGAGTCTATTGCCGACTACAAACAACGGTTCCAGACTTAGCTCGCACTGATCGAGGCTGAGGAACAGCGTCAGCTGGCAGCCGAGGCTGCCCGCCTACAGACTGAAGCAGCGGCGACAGGTGAGAAGCAGCGGCTACAGGCCGAAGCAGACGCAGATAACCAGGCACACCGCAAGGAGGCCCAGGATCTGCTGTAGCGGCATGAAGCCGCCAACATCGAAAGACTCAAGTATTGGCACTTTGAACCATCCGAGGGGCACGACGACGCAACACGAGAGGAGAAGCACAAAGAGTTCCTCTCCAAACTCGTGATACGGTTGTTATACGCTTGCAACTACCAACAGTCCGAGTTAGAGAGACAGAACTAGAAACTGCAGCAACAGTACCAGGATCTGAAGAAACAGCACCAGGAGTTGGCGAACGTCCGCCGGATAGTGCAGAGCCACGAGGATGCTACACGGACACTCAATTCCCGTGTACTGGACCTGGAGCAAGCTGGACCAGGAACAGATGTTGGCGAGTCTAACAGTGCACCCTGTACCCGCCAACTGGAGGAACGCGTCGACCACGTCGTCGCAATGCTCAGCGACATCAGCACCTTCGAGGCGCCAACCACCATCAACAAACAACTGGATACCTTGAAGACCGAGTTTCAGCAACTGCATCTGCCTAACAAGGATGACAACAACACAACGCATTACAAGATGCCGACTTTCCAAATTGAGAAGTTCGATGACTACACGCATCAAGACCCGGTCCTCTGGTGGGAAGGCTTTATGACGCAACTGCGGATTCTGTTTGTCGCCAAGCACGCGTACATGGGCGCCGTGTTTCTCAACTCAAAGGGCGGATGCCAGACTTGGTTAAGCCACCTGGCATCCACCCACGGCGTCGGCGTCGCAGATCTGAAAGACAAGATCTCATAGGAAGAGTTAACACGGCTATGGAAGAAGCGGTTCATCGTGGACGACGCACCTTCACTCGCCATCAACCGTCTCTTCGCCATGACACAAGGCAACACAGCAATACGTGACTGGCTCAAGGAATGACAGAAGATCGCGACAACGCCCAGTCTCGACTTGCCATTTTCGCATCTGCGCCGCGAGTTCTACAATAGGTCATGCGCTGTATTGAGCCTTGCTCTTGGTGATTGCGAGCAATATGCAACCTTCGCTGAGATCATTGACAAAGCGAGGGAGATCATCAAGACCAATAGGGCAGCTGCACACGAGAAGTCAACGTGGCAGCCAACCTATGTAACATAGGATTCGTGAAAACCTAACAAAACAAATTGTTAGGTTTGCACGAAATCTATTCAAGATTATGATAGTACGTTTTTCAGATCTCCTCCAGGAACAAAATTTTACGGGAAGTGAAACATTCGTAAAAAAAAAAACACAAAATTAATTTTTTAGAATTATTGGAGGGGGTAAGGAAAAAAGCGGGTTTTTTCATAGAAAATCACGACCTGGTGAAGCACCGTAGGTTCAAGAACTGAAATATCCTAATTTTTTGTTATCCAAAAAAATTGTGTTTATAGTCTTATAAGATGTGTAGCACGATGAATTTATTCGGGGGTTTTCCAAACGCGCAAACATATTATCCTGTTCGTGAATACATTCGCTTGAACATGGTTTCCCATACATGGGCGAATATATTATTTTTTATTGTTTGTTTTTATTTTTTTCTATATATATATTTTTTTAACTCGTGTTTGGCTAAGAATTTCAAGGTGTCTCCGAGGCAAAAGTTGTTTGTATTCTTATTTTAAATGACATATATTTTTCGATAAGGGTTGTATTGTTAAGTTCAAAAGTGATTTATAGTCCTATAAATTATTTTATGCAGAGCTTGGTTTTTACCTAACTGCAGAAACTTACTTATAGTCCTATAAATGAGTATGCACCAAAACACGTTTTTTTTTACATCTTTCAAGTTTGTCTTGTCATCCTTAAAAAATACCCTATTTGAACTTTGTTTTTTTGCCAATCTACTAAGAATGACTTATAGTCATATAAAAGCATTTTGCAAGGAAATTTTTTTTTGCACGTTTTGAGGAACGCTAGACTTTTCACCTGATTTTTTGCCTCCTTTATCGCAAAACGATTAAAAACGCTCTCTTTTTGTGTAAAAAATAACAGTTTGACTTTTACTTTTTCATTCTATAAGAAATGTTAGGTTTTCTCCAATTGTGAGGTTTTCTCCAATGGATGCCCCTTCCCCTACAGGCCGAAGCAGTTCGCTGCAGTTCAATCGGACAACACTATGGAAGACCCGGCAACCACCCAAGCATCGTGTGAGGGAGATCAGGTGACTGCTTTCCAGGCGCGAAGCAACAACAAGTCCCGAGGAAACGGGAAGGCGAAAACCGCATCGCCGGCCAGAAACGGACAGCCAGCACCATGGGTCAAGTTTCACTTGACCGAGGCCGAGTACAAGTACCGCGGCTGCTACTATTGGTGCAACAGCACCAAGCACAAGACCTCCCTCTGCCAGGATCAGGGCAAGGAGGATGTTCGACCTCGCATCAACTCGGGAAACTGAGTTTCGCGGGAGGTGAGGCGACTCCACCTCCCACTCCGCCAGATTCGGCCGCCTTGCTAGCGGAGAATGTCGTAAGTTCTCGGTATGCTTACGAGGACTATGTTTTCCACTTGGTCCCACCGCTGGACCAACCGCTCCACGTGCAACAATCTACCGCATGCACGGTTTCATCACCATCGACAACTGATTCGGCAGCTTCGCCGCCATCTACCACCGGGGATTCAACGTCATGGTCAAGACTTGAAGAGCTCGACCCGTTGACATTTGCGGACTTCCAATGGATGCCCCTTCCCCGGTCCGGTCGATTGCCAAAACCGCATTGCAATGTGCTCATGACACAATTGCGGGATTACTTGCACACTGCAGTACCAACTCCGTTGATGGACGCCGGAGTAGAGGTTGTCGACCTTCACGCCTACATTGGGAAGATCGACCGTGAGTTCAAGACGCAACGGTACGACGACATCGACACACCATTGTTATATGTAAGCATTCAGATCGGAGAGGCGACTTGCAACGCTTTGATCCATTGCGGAGCATCTCGCAACTACATGAGCCAGGACTTCATGGTACGCGCCGGCCTTAGCCCCCGTATCCAAAGGAAGTCCCAACCAACGCAAGTCACTCTGGCAGACGGTCACATGCACAAGTCAATAGACCGGTGCATTGACGACGTCCCCGTGTACTTTACCTCGCACACGAGCGAGGCGGTGTCCTTCGATATTTTGGACACCAAATTCGACATGATCTTGGGCATGTCATGGCTGCGAAGCGAGGATCACCCGGTGAACTTCTACCGCCGCACCGTTCACGTTTGTGATCGGAATGGAGTACCAGTCCCATGCACGGTAGCTCCTCCTCACCCTTCAATCACTTGTCACGTGGTGTCCGCCGCAAGCATGCGAGCTTCTATCAACAGAGACGACATCGAGGAGATGGGGGTGTGTTTTCTCCATGCCCTCCCGCCCCATGACGCTTCATCGACGGACTCATCTTCGAACCCACGCATCACCGAGCTTCTCGACGCCTACGGCGATGTGTTTGAAGGCCCGCACGAAGTAGTATCGGATCGGCCCATCCGCCACGAGATCATCCTCGAGGACGGGGCCGTACTTCCACGGGGTTGCATCTACCGAATGAGCGAGGAAGAGTTAAGTGTGCTACGGACACAACTCGACGACCTTCTAGAGAAAGGCTGGATACGGTCTAGCTCATCGCCGTACGGTGCTCATGTTCTCTTCGCCCGGAAGAAGAACAAAGATTTGCGGTTGTGCATCGATTATCGCAAGCTCAACGCGCAGACGATCAGAAACGCCGACCCTCTCCTATGCATCGATGACCTTCTCGAACGACTGGGCGACGCCAAGTTCTTCTCCAAGTTGGACCTCAAGTCAGGATATCACCACCTTGAGATTCCGAAGGAGGACCGCTACAAGACCGCGTTTAAGACGCGATATGGGCATTTCAAATGGCTGGTTATGCCATTTGGCCTTACGAATGCCCCGACCACTTTCCAAGCGGCTATGACAACGGAGTTCCGACACATGCTGGATCGATTCGTACTTATCTACCTCGACGACATCTTGGTGTACAACCGGAGTTTGGACGAGCATGGAGAACACATGCGCACCGTTTTTGAGCGGCTACGACAAACCAAGTACAAAGCCAACCGCGACAAATGCGAATTCGCGCGGTAGGAGCTGGAGTACTTGGGACATTATGTGATGCCGCAAGGCATCCGTCCGCTTGCGGACAAGATCAAGGCCCTCTGCGTATGGCCCGAGCCCACCAGCACCACGGACGTTCGTTCATTCATGGGGTTGGCGGGCTACTATCAGCGATCCATCACCGGATACTCAAGGATTGCTGCACCTATGACGAGATTACAATCGCCAAAGGTGCCATTCATATTCGATGACGACGCACGCCGGTCATTCCAAGCACTTAAGACGACCATGCTGGTGGCACCCGTCCTTAGCATCTATGACCCCACCGTGCCTACGAGAGTGACAACTGACGCTTCCGGCTATGACATTGGGGCAGTCTTGGAACAACACCACGACGACGACTGACACCCTGTGGAGTATTTCAGCCACAAAGTGCCTCCCATCAACTCGCTTGATGATGCAAGGAAGAAGGAGTTGCTCACGTTCGTGATGACTCTCAAGCGATGGCGACACTTCCTCCTTGGGCGTCGTAGGTTCACATGGGTTACTGACAATAACCCATTGACTTACTACAAGACGCAGGAAACGGTGAGCAGCACGATCGGACGATGGATGTACTTCATCGACCAATTCGACTTCACACCGAAACATCTTCCCGGCCTCTCCAATCGCACAACAGATGCACTCTCGCAAAGACCTGATCTTTGCGCTATGACACATCATGCCTTCGCATTCGACGAGGAACTTCAGCGACACTTCATCCGGGGATATGAGTCGGATCCGGACTTCGCCACATTGTATGCGCAGTTATCTTCGAATCACCTGCCGACCAGCCACTATCGCATTGCCGATGGGTACTTGCTCCTCCACTCAGAGGCAAGGACTTATTGTGTGTCCCACGAGACCGTCGTCTTCGGACTCGCCTTCTCGACGAGTACCATGACCCGCGACTCGCCGGCCATTTCGGAGTCAACCGCACCATTGCACGGCTTCGACAACGATTCCGATGGCCCGACCTCATTACCGATGTCACTCGGTATGGCGACTCTTGCGAAGTTTGCCGACGAAGCAAGCCCCGCAATCGCAACCCCTACGGCGAGTTGCGCCCGATGCCTATCCCACGGGAACCCGGCCTCTCCATTTCCATGGATGTCACCGGACCATTTCCTCGCGATCGCCTGGTCTGTCCTGCAAGGCCGGGGTCAGTGGTTTGCAGGATGACACATGACTCAAGAAAGGAAAAAAACCCCGAAAAACAGTAAGGACTTCTATCGGACCAGAAAAACAAAGTAAAACAGTTTCCGCGTGG